TTTCTTACCCGGAAATTAATTTTGAGATAACATTGTTTAAAAAGTCTTTGAAGAAAAATCATAAAATTTAACCGGTTAACATTGGTAACAGTAAATGTCATAATATATAGGAGAAGTTTAATGAAACTAATCCCATGCCATAGACTAAATACGTTTGCCATGCTTATTACTAAATTAATGAATGTGTATTGTGGTGAATATATAATAAATGTATAATAATTTTGTGCTAGTTGAAATTTATAATATTTATAATGAGAACGATAAAAATTATCAAATCCATCTGTTATCCTATGATAATATAATTCATATACGTCATCAACACATGAGACAGGACATTTTTGTTGGCATAATTTATTTAAATATGAATTGAACTCATTTCCATCATTAATGTTATATTGTGAGCAAAATGTGACATTTGGTACAATAGACTCATTGATGAATTGAATCGTAAGCAAACTGTTGTGCTTTGGTATGCATTGGAAACGCGTGTAATATGTCGTTAGAAAGCATTTATTTAAACAATGAAATTGTGTCTCATTTTTGTCATATTCTCGACATTGTGTGTCATATGGTTTCGGCAAACGTTGATAATTATATCTAATTATTTTAATTAATGTATTTGTACAACCATATAACATACAATCAACTATATCAACCTTGTTTTCATATAAATTATCCGTCAATTTTGGTAATGAATTTGATGAATGTATTATAAATGTTTTATGGAAAAAATTATATTTTGCTATATATTCATGATAGCTTGCGAATTCAATAAAATTTATTCTGTATTTAAATTCATTAATTGACTCATTTATATTAAAATTAGACAAAAATGTGTTACATTTGCCAAATGGAGATAATATTTTGAGAGTAGATCTCGATTCGTGACATTTGTATTGACTGTCGATATCACAGAATATATGATTCGAATAGAAGTTGAGCTCATTTTTAGTCGACTCCAGAATATTCTCATTAATTGTTTGTAAATTCTGTTGGAATTCTTCTCGACTATTGACCGCAAAATATTTTTCCAAAAAATCGACATATTGTGTGCTATTTATTGTTGATTTAAAACAATATGCTCTTAGTCCGAGGTCACGGGTTTCACAAAAAAGCTTGTTGATCCTTTTAATTTGAACAAGCACATTAAACCTTTTATAATATTCATATAGTTTATTAATATATGGACTAGATGAATTTAACGAATGTTTGGTATAATTGGAAATTGGAAATTTCTCAATAATATAACTAATGTTAAAGTGGTTTTCATAATAATTTCTAATATATGGATCAAATAACATGTTTTCAAACGTGTGTTCATAGCATACAGTTATAGCCGGAAGTGATTTCAACGATATTTTATTATCAATGCCTTTGTATTCAATCATTTCGATTGATGTTTGTGTTGAATATTGTAAGTAATTATCAATTAATAAGTATTGCTGGAAACAAATTATAGGAAATGTCATACATATCACAAATCTTTTCAGTTTATATGTCGAAAATTTATCGAGTATATTCTTAATTTTTGTCATTAACATTTTTACCATGTGTCTAATTTCAGTCTTAATATAATATAATATAACTCTTTTAATATTATTTAATACGAGTCTAATGAGAGCACTGGTATCTATGAAAGACATCCCTAACCACAAACCAATGAGTCCTCCGATTTTTGACATGAAGTCAACGAATGAATACTTTTTGTGTGAATTGTAGTGAAATTGTTGACTCGTTTTGAATTCAATTCTAATTTTGCTGTCATTTTGTTGTGAATATGTGTTGTCTTCCAATTCCAACGAATAGTATATTTCGTGACAATTCTGATGACATTTCTCTTTACAATAGTCTGTATTCACAGAATATTCTCGACTATTATTACCACATATTCTATACTGTGTTTGACTCGCATTCATAAGAATAAATGTATGATCCATATAAGGGTTCGGCAAACATTTGAATATTTTGTAATACATTGTTTCAATACACCTTCCAATGCATACAGAATAACTGTTTCTTGAGGCTATAAAATAGAAAATAATTATATTTGAATGCTATATAAAATTGATGCAAACAAAAAGTTATAGATAAAATTTATTTTACTATTAATTACATTTATGTGATCTTTAAATTTTTAAATATATAATTAATTATAGGTTTTCTAACAATACATTTTGAATTATATAGGGTTTTTTTGAGGGGCGACCAATATAACTGCAGATTTGATTATTAAAAACAATCCGCTAGATCATCGGACCTGGATATTAATATTATAATATATATTTCTATAACTTATTATTTTTCTTTGCGTGATGCAAACACTGTTTTTGTTTAACATACCCGAAATTAATTGGCAATAATTATACTAAATGCTTATAAATTAAACTGTTTTAATTGTAATGTATGAACATTGCGAGTCAACGCATTCTTACAAAACCTCTTATTAATTAAATATTTAAATGAGAAAAGATTACATAAATGTAATTAATAGAAAAGTTTATGTAACTTTTAGTTTGCTAAATGATAACAAATAATATTATTAAAATATGTAACCTGAATATAACTAGTATAAATATTAGAATAAGGGCATAAAATAATATTGAAAATTGAGATTAGAAATGCAATAAGACTTTGATAAATAAAATATTGAACAGCAAATCAATTGACAGTTAAAAAGTTTAAAAACAATTATTATTTGATATGAAGTATCTGAGATTATTTACCGTATTTTACATAATTTAGATCCTATAAGATCCCATTTTAAATATACTTCATGAGAGCAAGACATACTTTATAATTTAATTGAATATAAAAAAATAAATACCTTGCTCGTTGCACTTATTCATATATGGAACGGAAATCTTATTGATATAAGTTGTCATTAACTTTAAGCGTCCCGTATATCCAATTGTATTCATTTGAATGGAACTCTCGTTCGTTGCCATAAATAACGTCGACATTGGATTCGTTGCGAAGATATTAACTTGAAAATAGTCGTCGAGATACAATTTTTGTTTATGATACATTACTTTATATTTTTCATTATAATTGCGTTCAAAGTAGCCGTTTGTGAGAAAGTTTTGTTGGGTTTCATAACTGATACGAAACTCAATGTAATCATTTTCCTCGAGATAATAGTCGACATTATTTGTGTAGAAATACGTGAAACATATTCCGAAGTCTTTATTCCCATAAATAGTCTCCAAAACGGTATAACTTTGCGAACAATCAGTCATTACATGAGAATCACTTTTATTATTGTTATTTGAATTAGTTTTGTGCCAAAAATATGTACACTTTATGAGTTCATTGGCTTTTACTGTGAACTTATCGTACAATTCATTGAACGTCAGATTGGCTAAAATTTGAGTCTTATATCCAATGAAAAAGTCATTCATTAGAAAGTTCTTATAATAAACAAAACCACCACAATCATCTTTTTGTCGATTCAAAGTCAATGGCAATTTGTAAAATTCAGATTTACATTTTCGCACTAAATCTTCAGTCATTTGAATGGCTTTTAATTTGTAAGACTCATACTCATCACTAATATTAAAGTAGTCAATAATCCGGGTCTTATCGAAAAGCACATCCCTTTCCGTACAGATACTAATTGGTGGTAAATGTAAGCCTTCAGAAGGTTTAACACTAAGTCGATAAACATATGGATAACTGAAGTACTCTTTTGTCACTTCTATTCCTCCGTAGAATAGCACTGAAAGACACAACACTTTCACCAATAGTTTAATATAGGATTTGTTGAATGATTTAAACGTGAATTTCATTTTCAAAATTAAATTCTGTGTTATATATGTGATCGACTTCATCATTATTATAGCAAATAAATCACATTGAACTTTTAGTAATGAAATAAGCTGATTAATAATAAGTTTTACAGACATCATTAACTGGTCAATTCAAAAATATTTATTAGAAATTTTTTATTAATTTAGTTTGTTATTAGTTTGTGTTATGATGAATTTTATCACAATTCACAAATAATTTACATTAATACAATTTACACTAACTTTTGAATATTAACAATTCAATTCTAATTTTGTAACGTATAATATCGTAATATTTATTCAAACGATACCAGGCTACTAAGTCTTTCATAGCTTTCAATATTTTCTTGATACAATCGCTAATATATGTTACTATCACATTTTAATTATAAAATACAATGTTCTTAACATATGGTATACCAACATTCTAAATCACCTATTTGAGTTATATTATTTCTTGTTAATAATAATAAAAGTAATTTATTATTAATTATATAATATTTTGAAATAGGTCATTACTATCACTTATGATATTATTTGCCATAAATACTTAATGATTTAACTTAATTACTTTTGTTTTTGGTATTTAGTTATAAATTTTTAATTTTCAATTCTATTTTTCAAAATAATTACATTAAGTTTATATAATATTAAAGGAAAATAAAGCTAATTATACTTTATGTTACATGACTTTGAATAGATATTTGGAAATAAAATAATCACAAATAAATTTAACAACTTTATTGTATAATATTTTAAGTAATAACATACAGTATTTAATAATATCTTATTTAGTATTTGGTGTCAGTATTTAGTATCTAATATTGAAATAGTCAATAATCCGGGTCTTTTTGAAAAACACATCCCTTTCCGTACAGATTCTAATATGTTACAAATAATAACAATGACCTAGATAATTTCAATTATATTGTTATAAATTATTTTCGCAAAACTATTAATTTTGTATCGTGGTACAGTAAATACAATATAAAAATGGCATCAGATTTATTAGTAAAATAATTTTGTTTTACTGTACTATTTATAGAAACATAAAAATAATTACTTTTAATATTAAATAACTTGTAACCGAAATATCGAAAAGTAATAAATAAATAATTAAATATAAAATTTCAAAAATTATTAATTTATATTTTTATTTTGTAATACAATTATATTAAAACAAATGTAAAAATATAATATTGTGTAATATAATAGTTAATATATCTGCAAAATTATTTAAATATTAATTAAAAACAAATGTTAAACTGTCAAATAAAAATAAAGTAAAATATTAAATACATTAAATTACACGTAATTAAAAATTTTATTAATTATCACCAGGTTAAATCCGTTTCCAAACTCGAACGACTTGATTACCGGGTCGATATTCACCACCATTTTCCCTGTCAGTCCTAAAATATAATCCCCCGTAATCTTCAGTGATATCTATCCACGATAACTTTGACCATAGTGTATGTGGGTCGGGTTGACCCGGTAACTGGATATATACATAACCAACTGGAATTAAAGTATCAACAACATTTTCCCGATAATCATCTAGTTTCATTCTGGTATCAATTAAAACTTTTTCAACTCGCTCCATTGTCCATGCTTGCTGTTTTTGACATACAACCAGATTGCGTTTACCACATGTGATCTTGATCCATTTTCCCAAATACGGTCTATTCGGTACCATTTGTGCGCATTCCTCGGATGTGTTTACTTGCGCCGGTAGCCAATTAGTATAGTCCCCTTCCAATCCATCAACCCATTTTATTTCATCATGGTCAACAGTTAACCCTACCCAAACACCGTCAACAATACCATGTTTGTTATATAATAGGTTTGTCAAGTAATCTTGCTCGTTTTGTGAGTGTATGGTAGATATTGTAGCCCCGGTGTCCAGTGATTGACACGCTGATAGAGCTTGGTCATAATTATACATGTCATCATGAATGATCTTGAAGCATTTTTCATCGCCATAGGCCTCCCAGTCCCCACATTCACTGGTATTGTTAATAGTTTTAGCCAAACCTTTTTAGTAAGAAAAATATTTTTATTACAGTATATTAAGTATTAATTATTTATTTAGTTTACCTCTCCTTGGTGAAAGATTTCTAGCTGACACATAAACACACAAATAAAGGGTACACAAAAAATAGTTTATAAAACTCATTGTAATATAATGATTATTTGTATTAATTAATATAGTATGCTAGTGTATTATTTAATATTAATAATTTGAATAATGTAAACTGATAACAAAATAAGTTTTAAAAGTCTATTTATATAAAAATATTTTTAAATTATTTTGTTTAGACTTAAGTGCAAATAATTTCACATTTTAAGTGAAATCATATTTACTCATTTGAGACTAAATTAATTATATACTACCTACTTTAGGAAATATGATTGTTTACTACTTTCAGTATATTAACTAGCAGTAAAAGCATTAATAATTTCAGTGCATATTTGTCAACACTAATTATATATATTATTTATGCTTTGTTATTATTGTACTTAGGTTTGAAGTTAAATATAGATTTTTTAAAAATAAATGAAAATATATTATTTGTTAATATTATGTCTACACGACATTTTAATTGATTAATAATGTGCAAAATTAAGCAAAACAAAATAATTCGCAATAAATCAAATAATTGTTTTTTATGTGTATGCAATATATTACAACATATTGAACTAATGTAGTAAGTAGTGTGACCAGATATTTTTTCAATATTTTGTTTAAAACTGGACAATTTGATGAAATGAGACAATATTAGAATTAATCCAAGAAGTATTGTCCAGTTTTAAAACTTGAATTAATTCTAATATTGTCTCTTTTCATACAATTGTCCAGGTTTAAACAAAATATTGAAAAAATATCTGGTCACACTAGTAGTAAGTTTGCTTTGAGTGCACAATAAATTCGCAATAAATCAAATAATTGTTTTTTATGTGTATGCAATATATTACAACATATTGAACTAATGTAGTAAGTAGTGTGATCAGACGTCCGGCTTTGGGCTGGATTGTCCAGTTTTTGCACATAGTGTCCAGTTTTGTAATTGATCTATTACAATGTAATGGATAGTATTGTCCAGTTTTAAAACTTGAATTAATTCTAATATTGTCTCTTTTCATACAATTGTCCAGGTTTAAACAAAATATTGAAAAAATATCTGGTCACACTAGTAGTAAGTTTGCTTTGAGTGCACAACTAATATTGTCTCATTTCATCAAATTGTCCAGTTTTAAACAAAATATTGAAAAAATATCTGGTCACACTAGTAGTAAGTTTGCTTTGAGTGCACAATAATTACATATTTCAAGTGCTGCCTATTCATGTATGAAGTTTAATGGGTATTCATATTAAAATAAGATTTTTATTTATTAATTAGTAAATGTGGTACGTACACCTAAACTTGCAACCGTATTGTACTGTATACCTAATTATACTTATGTTAATCACACAAATAATATATAATATAAAAATGATAAAGTAATTAACATTTATAAAAGTTTTAAAATATTTAATAATAATCAATAATATCTATACATTTTAATATAAGCAAAGCTAAATTATACTAATATTTTATGTACTGTATAATTCTGTTATAAAATTTATAGTAAAACAAATACTTTAATTATTATTTTACACTAAAACAACTAGACACATAATCTTTATCATTGACAAATTTGTTAATACCACCGTGATTATCCATGTTACAAGTTTTATACTTTTTATTAACATTTTTATCCAAACTATACGCGACTCTATTTTTCCAATTAGGCCAACTTTCACCCTCGTACATTTTTAATTTTTCCATTGACTCTCGTGTTTGTTGAATTTTGTCAAATGATTGACTATAATAAGTATATTGTTTACTACTCATGCGATAATTGTCCCACATGTAATCCGTAAAATTATCCGGCCAACCGCACATAAACTGGGTATAGCCATTACCAGGCACATAATTCCATAGAATCTGATGATACCAAAATTTCCTTGCTAACCAATGACCTAGCTTAGTTGAATAACCCTTGCAATTATTAAGTAAAATGTTGTACTCATTGTGCCAGGGCATTGATTTAATAGCTTTGATAACTACAGGCACTGAAACTTTAAAGTAGCACGGAATATATGATTTACCCTCGTCAAATATTGTGTATCTGCCCCAATCAATGATAACTCCACTAGGTCCAAACTCCGCTGTAATATATTTAACACTTTTATCAGGGCAAATTACTTTCATTTGCTGAGCCGTGTGCGAATAATCATGATAATTATCCAGATCCAGTTCAAAATACGTGCCGATATAATGTCTAAAAACTTTCACCAAGCTATTCACTAATAATTCCGATAATGGGGTGTGTATTTCATGTATTTCAAACACGGTGCCATTTAAACATGGTTTATTATCAGGTACAAATTTTCCATGTTTACGTGTATCAATTATGTATTCTCCAGAAGTAATTGTAATAAATAATAAAAATATTAATTTAATTATGTACATTATATTTAATATTATAATTAATAAACCATAATAATTTAATATTATTGATCAAATAATATGAAGTGTATTCAATGTAAAATTAAAACACTAAACTGACTCATGTATATTAATCTGATGAAAGTTACAATGATAGTTGCTAAGAATCATAGTTGTTTATAATAATGTATTATTTTTAGATAGCGTTATACAACAATAATGTCTAGTAACTACAGTACATAAGGTATTATAGTTTAAATGTTTAGTTATTTTACATTAGAAAAATTACAGTGAAACATTATTGTCATAATTTATAAACAATACAACAGTTTCAATATATCAATAGATAAATATTATCTTTGTCAATTATAAGCTTAACTTATTTTAATAATAGCTATTACTGTTTAAACAACAAACAATATGACACGTATATTTAAGAATTTATATTAAATAAATTAATTATAAAACAATTGTTCATATATTTATCACAATTTTTATTATAAATTAAAATAATGAAAGGGATAAATAATTGTAAATGTTATATGCATAAATATATAGATAACTTTTATTTAAACTTATTACAATAGATTTTAACAAATAAAAATATAATGCAATAAATAATTTTTATAAAATAGATAAATAAATGTTTAAATAAGATAAATTTATATAAAAAATATTAATAACATTATTAAACGTAAATTTTATCCAGATAAAATAAAATATTAGTACTGGACAATCCAACCCCGATCTGGACGCCTGGTCACTCTGGGCTCAACCCGTTTCCAGACCCGTACGCCTTGATTACGGCGACTATATTCACCACCATTTCCGCTGTCAGTCCTAAAATATAATCTCTCATAATCTTCAGTGATATTTTGCCATGATAACTTTGGCCATAGGGAATGTGGCTCGGGTTGACCGGGTAACTGTATGTAAACGTAACCAAGGGGAATCATATCTTCAACAACATTTTGCCTTGATTCATTTAATTGCTCCCGGGTATCGGCCATAACTTTTTGAACTCGCTCCAATGTCCATGCTTGCGGTTTTTGACATACTACCAAATTGCGTTTAGTGCATTTTACCATGATCCATTTTCCCAAATAAGGTCTATTCGGTACCATTTGAACGCATTGCTCGGAATTATTGACTCGCACCGGTAGCCAATTAGTGTAGTTCCCTTTCGAGTTATCAGTCCATTTTATTTCACCCTGGTCAACAGTTAAACCTACCCAAACGCCATCGACAATACCACCTTTCTCAAATAATAAGTTTGTCAAATAATCTTGCTCCTTTTGTGAGTGTATGGTAGTTAGAGTAGCGCCTGTATCTAGTGATTAACACGCTGATAGAGCTTGCTCATAATTAAGCATGTTATTATGGATGATCTTGAAACATTTTTCAACGCCATATATTTCCCAGTTGCCGCATTCACTTGTTGTCCGGTTATTTTTTGCTAAATAATTTAATTTAATTTAAATAATAACTTTTTACAATTTAATTTTAAACTACCTGTCCGTTGTGAAAGATTTCTAGTTGATCTAGCTGATACAATAACAAACAAATAAAAAGCCAAAACAGTAGATGTATTAAAATTCATTATAAAATAATAAACTTATTTGTATTAGTTTTTAATTTAATGAAACTTTAATATATTATTTGATAAAAAATATCTATGTTTTCTATTTATAGACAATTTTTTTATAAATTCATTTTCATTAACTACTGTATAAACAGACTTTAGTGCAAATTTTGCAAATATTTTCATATTTTACTGAAATCATATTTGTTAATTTGAACCTAAATTAATTATATGTTACAAATTGTTAGTGTTTATACTTACTATAATTTTTTATGAATTTGTTGATTGCATTAAAAGCACTCATAATTCAGTGCATATTAAGGCAAACAAAATTATATACTTTTGTTATTATTGCACTCATGCTTAGTGCTAAATATAGATTTTACAAATTGCATTTTAAATTGTATGTATATATTTTTAATTTTAAATATACACTAAACAAACAAATTAAGATTTAAGGAATTTTAATTGATTTAATAAATCAGCTATACGATATTTTTGTGTTTTTGACATAATTTTTATTGGTATAGCAATATTTGTAATACATACTGTATATCATTATAAACTTAAGGTTGTTTTATGTGCGCAAAATAATTATATATTGTGTATTTAAGTGCTAGTTAATTCATGTGTGAAGTTTTATAGTTATTTATATTCAATATAATATTGATTATAAACATTTTATTAGATTTTATTTTAAACTTAATTTTAAAAGTAACTTATTTAATATTCAATTAAAAAAATAGAATTTAATAAATATTATCGACAATTAATTTTCGGGACATTCATAATGTATGTGAATTCATTCAGATGTTTATGAACAAAAATTTAACAATACTTTATTTATTAGATTAGTTACTTTGACCTATGTCATCTTATGAGCAGTGCATATGACCTTTGATTTTGTTTTGTTATTTCTATGTCTTACATTTTCTAGTAACCTATTTTATTTTCATATGTACTGTATTACTACATGATAAAGTTATTGACAATTATGGGATTGCAATAAATACAGAAAGTCACAAAAGTCATTAGTGTAACATTATGTTACATTATGTTTCATTAATGATTTATTTATTAATGGTTTATTGACTATAGTACAAATAAAATTTATAAACATTTTATAAACAGACTGGCTTAGACTTTTGAATTTACAATTGAATTACAACACAATTACTTAATTCTATTGTGAAACATTGCCTTACCACATCAGCTTGTGTATTTTTTCAGACCCTCGTTATGGGCAATAAAGGTTAGTGAATATGTAACTATAATTATAACAGTTATATTTAATTTTTAATAGATTTTCATAAATACACATACAAGTACTATATACAGTTATGGACAGGCATAACTAGGACAGGTTTTTGCTAGATTACTTCAAAACCGCAAATTCTATCTTGGTATGACTTCAGGATCTTATTCTCAGATAAATTATGCTTAATTTAGTATATAAATTAATATTTCTATCTTACCCTGTTATTTAGATATTTAAAGTTAAAGTTTTTAGTGGAAAATTTTTGATTTTCTCATAGAAAAGCAATTTATCAACCAATGCTTCTAACTCAGCTTATGTGAAAAAACTGTATCTTGGTTATTTTATAACCGATTTTTAATATCGAAACATTAATTTGCGTTAAGTAAAAATGCGAATTTAATGATCTAATAAGATATTCTATTTTCATATAAAAGTGTTTCTAACTTTTTAACCAAAAGGCCTAGAACAAAGGTGAAACGTGCATTGGAAAGAGCCCAAAAAATTAGTCTAGGTGAGTTTCAACAATAAGTTTTAAAATGTTATTTTTCAATCAGGTTGCATTATAAAGAATGTAATTCCGAAGTTAATTATTTCAATTTAAAATAAGTAAATAAATTAGTCCTAAATGTTATTTATCATAATATTACAAACTCACCTAGACTAATTTATTGTGCTTTTGCCATATATTTTCTATGAGAAAATCAAAAATTTTCCACTA